TGTCAGGAGTTCCTGGGATCTGATGACGTACAAGACAAGAAAATGTTGATCAAAAAGAAAGCAGACTGGGCACGAAATATCAATGAACCAAAAGCAGCAGCAGAAATGTACTTGTCTGCTGGAGAAACTCTGAAGGCTATAGAAATCGTGGGAGAGAACGGATGGGTTGATATGTGAGTTTTGAGGTTCTGCTACTGTACGTAATGTATTTATTAACGATGAACATTCTAATTTCAAACTTGTATTTGGAACCAAAGTGATGTTTCCAATGTTTTAGATAACATTAGAGTTAAAGAATTACTTCAACAATAAAATCTTCCTCAAAATGTGAGATATGTATATAGAAAGTTATCAGTGATTATCTGTTAAAACGTGAGACGTTAACAGGTTTTCTCAATTTGATGAGTAAGTAGCAGTGCTGACTTTAATACTGAAATATGTTATGGTACTTGTTAGAAATTATCTTACATTTTTTTATCTTTAGCAGATCTTTAACCATACAACTGTTTGTTTCACTGTTTCTTGTACAGCTGTGTAGAGATGCTGAGAAGCTCCTTTGTGTACTGCTTGTTGTATATAATGTATGCTTTATTTCACAGCACAATGCTCTCTTCTGTTGTCTTCTATATCTGTGATAACAAAGTTCAAGAACATAGAGCTTTCTAAGGGTTTTATAGAGACACGAATTTTTCGCAAAGTTACATCAAACTGCAAATCCCAACTTATAGTAAACTATGAAAATTCATACTTGTTTATCTCATAGGCTAATGGACATCAGTCGTCGAGCTGACAAAGCAGACCGAGACGCCCTTATGTTGTGTGCCAGCTATTTGAAACAGCACAAGCAGTATGCGTACGCTGTGGAAGTCTATCGCAGAATGGGGGACATCCCATCCCTTCTGCAACTGTATGTTGAGGCCCGCCAGTGGGAAGAGGTGTTGTACACATTTTTTATACTGCAACCCCCCCCGTACAATACTCTTTACTAATTAGAGAATTTTTAGTCTTTAAGTATTTAATCTCATCTATTAGAAAAATAGTAACTTTTTAATTAACTTAATTGTATGTACTAAAACATATTATATTACATTATTAAGAATTGCATAAACAGTAGGACAATAACTTTTTTTTAGCACGTTCAAAAACAGGATGGAAATCAGAGGTCAAACAATTCCAACACAGTATAAAGTAGAATCAAAGATCAAACAATTCCAACACAGTATATGGTAGAATCAGAGGTCAAACAATTCCAACACAGTATATGGTAGAATCAGAGGTCAAACAATTACAACACAGTATAAAGTAGAATCAAAGATCAAACAATTCCAACACAGTATATGGTAGAACAGAGGTCAAACAATTCCAACACAGTATATGGTAGAATCAGAGGTCAAACAATTCCAACACAGTATATGGTAGAATCAGAGGTCAAACAATTCCAACACAGTATATGGTAGAATCAGAGGTCAAACAATTCCAACACAGTATAAGGCAGAATCAGAGGTCAAACAATTCCAACATAGTATAAGGTAGAATCAAAGATCAAACAATTCCAACACAGTATATGTTAGAATCAGAGGTCAAACAATTCCAACACAGTATAAGGTAGAATCAAAGATCAAACAATTCCAACACACTATATGGTAGAATCAAAGATCAAACAATTCCAACACAGTATAAGGTAGAATCAAAGATCAAATAATTCCAACACAGTATATGGTAGAATCAAAGATCAAAACAATTCCAACACAGTAATAAAGTAGAAATCGAAAGATACAAAACTAATTACCAAACGAACAGGTAATAAAAGTAGAAATACAAAAGTATAACCC